GCTCTATCCATTGAGCTAACCGGCAGGCGGTTACTGGGATTGGAGTCGGCTATACTATCCACTCCGCAAAAACTGGTTTGATTTGACCCCAAATCAACTTTTCTAAAAGGGTTTTCTCGGTGGCTGTAAATCCCTTTATTTCCTTTACTAGCCGAAATATAAAAATTGTACTATTTTCAATCGCATTGTGATAAGTGAAGAGTGAGAATACGCAACTAAGAGGTAGCGCGAAAAGGCGGACAGATGGAGATAAGCCAGACCAAGAAATAATTCTTGCCCAGAGAAAGAGGTTAGGGTCAAACTATAGAAAGAACTCCACCGACATGTCTTTTTAGGGTTGACATAGGATAGATGAAACGTTTTGTTTTTGAAATTTGTACAGAATGGCAGACCAACTGAGGTAATCTACAGCTATTATCAAATTGTAGGCAAATAGAATTAAACTGAATTTTCTTTCAACGCTTTGAGATCTAAAAAATCAAGTTTCACACTAACCCTGGGTTAACCCACCTATGAACAACCCAGCCTACGGGAATAAACTGCGAAAAAAAAATCTCTAAAACACGCATGCTCGGTAAAACGAGCTTCGGAGTCCTCCAGTAGATGCTGCTACGAATCGAGAGGGTCGTAATATTCACAGTTTAGTTTATTCACGAGTTTTCCATAAATCTCACATAATATCTTGCAGATTAAGAGCAAGGTAGTAATATCACTTACTTCCCGGAAGTAGAATGTGTTGCGAAAACAAAATAAAAAAAAAACAAACAAACAAAGCAAATCACTACAAAATCTCCGAATTTATTTGTGACCTTGAGACAATATGAATGATCAGTCACTTACGCAAGGAAACACTTCTCCCATTTCACTTGTTCCTTCCAAACAGAAAGAACTAAATGCCTCGTGGGCAGAAAACATCTACAGAAAGAATTCAGTGTATGAGTACTTAAAAACAGAAAGCGTTGAATCTGTCTACGATATCAAGAAATATTGTGGCAAATTCCTGAAGAGGAGAAAAGAAACTCTCACTAATCCTTCCTAAAAACCGTTAAAAAATAAACAGTATTTTTGAAGACGGACGAAACCACGGTCACGTGACTAAAATGACAGCATGACTCAACCAATCACTATGGTTCGTAAAAAGCTATTAACGTCAACTGTTGAATGAATAGAAGCAACAGATGTAAGGAAAAGCTTCCCCATAGTCGCTTGATATCGGGATGAAATACTAAGAGCTGCCATAAACAGGCCTTTCTCGAGTACTAATGTGCCAAGTAAAATTAACTTAGTGGTTAATTTTTAAAGAGAGACCTGAAGTCGACCCTTAGATGGATCAAAAACAAAACCAACTTAAAACTATCTATTCAACGTAGGTATAATAGGTCGGACTGTCAACTCATCGCCGCCTCGGTCCCCGACTTCTACTTCGGCTTTTGCTTCGTTCTCGCCGTCGATTTCTTGGGGATCGTGAGCGCTGTTTCTCTGCAGTGTCCCGTTCCCGTTTGTCTTTCTCACGCTCCAATTCCCGCTCTTTCTCTCGTTGTTGCTGTCTTTCTTTGCGTTCTTGTTCCTCTTTGTCTCTTTCTTCCTGTCTAGCTTTCCGTCTTTCCTCTCTTTCCCGTTCTCTTGTCGCGATCTGTATAAAATAAAAAAAAATAAAAAAAGAGGAGTAAAAACGTTTTCGTCTTATTCCCGGTGTAACTTAGAATAAACGCTACCGTCCGGTAATAGGCAATAAAAATCCAATAAGATCCTCGAAAAAAAAAAATCTTCTTTAGTTGACTTCTTTTCACGTGGGAATGACGAAGGAAGTACCTGAAGGCTCCCACATTTTCAAAATCTGAAAGATCGAATTGGATCCTTAGTTGCTAAGGAATCCGCCATAATGGCGAAAAGAGCGCGCATAGGGGTATGCAAAATAAAGTCGAGTTCCAATTATTTATTTCGTTTCATTTTGCGTACGCCGAAGCACATTGGCGGATGTTTGACCTTTCGCATCTAATACATCGCATCAAAATGTCCATGCCCAGAGAAGCCATCACATTCAGACTGTTTTCCTTAAACAATTCTTGCCAGGCTCTCTGTCACGTGCATTTTGACGATGGCTTAACTGGCCAAAAGTTGATCCGACGCAACACTCATTGCAAGGGCTTCCCACAGCGTACTGATTAAGTCACAAACGTTTTACAGAAAAACTAACCAACAATGAAAACGCAAAACCGTAAAGTAGTTCAGTGTTACTTTTGTTCGTAAGCGCGGTTGAGAACAGCAAGAGAGGGTTGGGAATGAGAAGTCACAGAGTAGCATGCCCTGAGGGCTGACACTAGCACAAACCTGTTCATCTGTCAGTGGCAGCCAGTACAAGCAGGGTATGGTCTTCGTTTTTTTGAACAGATTATCTAGCAGGTTACCAGCGTTCTTCAGATCTTCTTCTTCTTCTTCTTCTTTTTCTTCTGTTTCCATCGGCTTTTCTTCTTCGACTGAATAAAGTAAACGCGAATGGCCATTTAGAGTATTGTCTGAGGTAATCCGGGATTATTTTCGTTATGCTTAACTTCGAGCTGTGATTGGTCCAGAAAACTCGCGCCACTTTTTCAACCTTGGTTCCCCCACGTTTTTCCCACGTTTTTCCCGCGCTTTAGGCAATTTACTTGTTTTCGCTTTGAGTTCTCATTGGCTCTTAATCTATTTTCCCTTCTTTTGATTGGCCAATGTGATTAATTTGGTTTTGGTAGTACAACTCTTAACCGAAAAGCGCTCTAAGTTTCCTTCCTTTCCATGTATCATGTTACACGACCAGATCAACTCCGCTGTAATTTTTATCGTGTTTAAATAAACGTTGCTGTTGTTATCGTGGTTCACTGCGGGGGAATCAGAGTATATTATTTCTCTTGTGCAACACTGGTGATTTCTTTTATCTAAATTTTGCTTCAAATTCAATTAGGTTGGTGGCTTTGAAATTCACCATCTCCTATATTACAAGGACAACTTTGTTCAATGTTTGGCACCAATGAACTAGACAATCACTTGATGTAATTTTACACAATAAGTACCTGAAGGTTCTTTTATTTCATCCTTCTCCGCATTCGCTTCTCGTTCTTTTTCCTTCTTGCGACCGAGAAAACCTTCTGTATCTCGCGCCATCTGTAAAAAAAACCAAAAACAAATGCAATAAACAAAACGAATCAATTCATCAACGTCTCTCTTTCTCCATAAACGATACGTTTTAACAATGCTGCCGCATCTAACAGTCTCGCGTACTTAAGTAAGAATTTAGTTCATGGTCTGCCTTTCTGTAAGTCTACCGCCTCCCAGTTAGCTCAATGGATAGAGCGCTCGACTGTTGTGCGGGAGGTCGAGGGTTCGAGCCCCGG